CGATATGTCATGGTTTCAACAGTTCACACTGAAGGATGAGTATACATGAAAAGACAGTCCAAAGTCAAGCTAGAGATGGTCAATGATGCAGGGAAACGAAAAAACGAAGAAGTTGAACCCAGAAAATGGACTCCATTTGCTGGTTGACTTGCTCATAAGGCGTACCTCATCGGTGACCACATCATTGCTAAACCTTTCCCTGCTAGACGCTAAAGCCGAATTGCGAAAGATTGGGTGGGCAGGGGGCACACTCTTCGCTGCAGATTGCGTGTCCGCTCGTAATCCTTAGCAGGTCCGCGTAATTTCCCCAATTTTCCCTTTTTAGTTGTGTTCCTTTCTTCGAGCTCCTATCTTATCATGGAGTCCTCCTTTATTGTATTCATCTCGGGAGGAGCCCGTTACCAGTGGAACCAGTAGTGAACAGTTAGAGCAAGCGGCGCTTAGCGCTTCGATCACCATCCCGTAGCACGTTCGTCAGTTTTAGGTCCATGAATCGATTTCTTTTGCTCTCTAACATGCTGCTCACATTTCTACACATTAAATATCAATGCTCTCTACTAACACATACATTCATACATACATGTGACATTAACAAATTGACTAACCAGGGAAGGCATTCAACTTCCCATGGAACTTTGAATTGAGACCCAGATATATCGATAGAGCTTCAAACGCTGATTACAAATATGGAAACTAAAACTGCAAAATGAACCTGCCAAGGAAGTTGTGAGCAGTCAAAGTTGGCTGGAAGTAAAGCATTACATATGAACCGTGCTAGCTTCCGGGCTTTCAGAGTCGCCGTGGAGTAGTGGTAGTGGTACGGCCCCTGGAGTCGTGCGCTGGTAGTGCCCCGGGGGCGTGCATTCTCTTTCCGTTGGAGTGCAACTTTCGAGAGCACTACCACTACTCCACGACTTTGAATGCCCGGACGGTACCACGATTCATATGAAACGCTTTGTTTCCAGCCAACTTTGACTGCTCACAACTTACTTGGCAGGTCCATTTTGCAGTTTTAGTTTTCATATTTGTAATCAATATTTGAAGACTCAGTTCAAGCTTAGAAGTTCCATGGAAAGCTGAAGGCCTTTCTGGAAATAACAGAAGGAATGCATACAGGGGTTACGGTACAATAACCGTAATAGGAACTGTAACACAGTGATGCCTGAGAATCATCCCCATACAACCCTCACGACGTATACTCATTCCCGGTCACAACGCTGAGGGGGGTGCGATTCGCAATGGACTAATTGCTTGGTGGGGGGCTAAGGTTTCGTCAGAAGAGTTTGAGTGAATGAATAGGTCTCAGTGGATTAGTGAGTGTTTTGAACTTGGTAGGAAGTGAGGCTTGCTTGGCAGAAATAGCGTCACTAAGCCTTTGCCCCACAGTAGGGGAAAAGGGCGTCCCTTAACTTCCTGACCCACACCCTAGTTGCTTTCGACTTTTTTGGACGCAACCCGCCCCTAGGGTCTGTGTTCCCTATAAACCATTACAGTTCCAGACGTGTTTTATTCCATGTTGACTTGATGGTATGTTTGATAACCTTTTCTTTCTGTGTGCTTGTTTCAAGCACCCGCCTTGATTTGCCAAACACTGATTTTTTTATTACCACAGTTTGAAGCCCTGTGCAATTTAATCTGCTGCGAAATTTGAAGCTAGCCCATTTCGTTTCGCGAAGTGTATTTTGCCGCAAGATCGGTCTCAAGGAGGACGCAATGCGCTTTTTCTATCTCTAGTCGTGGTGCTTTTTCCAAGAGAAAAACCTTGGTGCGTTGAAGTTTTTTCTCCTTGACGGGTTGGTTTTGCTTGCATTCTGATTCGTGCCGAAGGACGCTCGCTAGCATGGCCGGCGAACAATTCGTGACGTCCTCCACTATTAGTGCAGCCACTACAGAAGAAATACTACTAGTTCCGATGAGAATCATGATCGCCGACTACGGCAGTTATGTACTTTGCACTGAGTCACTATTTAAGAGATCAGCGCCACTCGTAAAGTTGTCCCGCTGTGCTGCCGTGAGATGATGGAACTCGACTGCCGGATTCGGGCCTATCGCTTCGTAGCTTATGCGGCGGTCACTTTCTCCGTAATCGCCGTGCTCTCCATTAGTGTCTCTTTGCCAATGGTTTACAACTATGTTCACCATGTCAGAAGAAGCATGCGCAGCGATTTGAGTGACTGCACGGTAAGGAAATTTTTCGAAAATCGTTGAATACAAGTCACTCCCTTAGCTGACGTTTAAAATTTGAATCACCTTTCTTCAGGGAACTGCCAAGTCATTATGGAGTCAGGTGAACAACATAAAATCCCTGCCTCATCGCAACCGCACAACTCGGCAAATGGGCTACGATGACATTGCCATTTCAAGCGGAGGCGGTATTGCGGGGAGTGGCTGCGACAATTGCTGCTTACCCGGTCCCCCAGGCCCACCAGGCCCTGTTGGCCATCCAGGGCGTCCAGGGAAACCTGGTGCCCCTGGTGCACCCGGAAATCCTGGGCGTCCACCACAGCAACCATGCGAGCCTATTACACCTCCACCATGCAAGCCATGCCCACGTGGACCTCCTGGACCACCTGGACCTCCAGGGCCACCAGGAGACCAGGGTCATATGGGTCCTCCTGGACCAGTTGGTCCAGATGGTCCAACTGGAGAGCAAGGACCTCCTGGGCCACAGGGTCCCAATGGAAAACCGGGAGCTTCGGGAGCACCTGGAAAACCTGGAGAAAATGGCGTCAAAGAGACTATTCGTCCAGGACCGCCTGGACCTCCTGGACCACCGGGACCACAAGGACCACCAGGAGCAGTGGGACAACCTGGAACTGCTGGTGTGCCAGGTTGGGAGAGTTTATTTTGTCGGCACTTAGCTCATATTTCAATATCACTATTTGCAGGACCGCAAGGACCAAAGGGGCCACCAGGAATGAATGGCGAAAAAGGCCCTGACGGCTTACCAGGCTCTCCTGGTCAAGCTGGAACCCCTGGTGAACCCGGCGAGCGTGGAGTTTGTCCAAAATACTGCGCCATTGATGGAGGAGTTTTCTTTGAAGATGGAACAAGGCGTTAAATTACATCAGATCTTGACATATCAGCAGTTGCTTCTAGGAAATTGTACCCACCACAAAATAAATGTATTCAAGCCAAAAGTACATTTT